CAAACATCAAGTTTGTGCAAATCAAGCCAATTTTCCTTTCAATATTCATTTTGCTTTCAAGAACACCATTTGTGCTCATTTGTAATTATCTTTGAGTGTTCTTTTCTTGTTCTAGAATTGTGCAAACATCTTACCTTGTGAGGTTTTCCTTGTAAGTTTGCAAATTTGTAATCTTCTCTTTGGGAAAGAGTGTTCTCAAGAATTGGGGTATATTCTTGAGGGTGTTGTAAGGTTATCTCTTTGGCCTCAAAAGAAAGAACAAATTAGTGAATTTGTTGGAAAATCCTTAGTGTGGATAGCTAAGGTAGTGGACGTAGACTTTGATTGAGAAAGTCGAACCACTCTAAATCGCTATGCAATTACTTTCAATTTTCTGCAAAAGCTTCCACCAAATTTTTAATTGTCAATTCACCCCTCTTGGCCAATTCCGTCAATCGATTAACTCAACACCTTCTAATCTCAATGGTAGGCGTACTACTTTTTGTATTATATATATTTTGAAGAAGAAAGTTTATTCCTTCTAATCTGCCTAGTAGAATTTAAAAACTTTGTCAAGTATTAACTGAATTATAAAAGGAATAATATCACAAGTGATCCTTGATATTTTTTGAATCCCTCAGTTCATCCGTTTTGGACCGGTCCACTGGCTTTGGTAACTTTTGAAACCCAAGAGTTGGGAATTGGGTGGAAGCCCGTATATCCGATTGGATTGGATTGGACCATCGAAAGCATGCGTTAAACAAAACAAATACATTTTCAGCTTCATATCTGCAATTTTCTTTTTCCCTCGGAAAGAATGGAATTCCCAAAACCTCCTTCACTTCCGTCAAACCCTCTCTTATCCCTCTCCACTTTCTTCCACCGTCTCGGCGCCGAGCTCGCCACCCGCCTCCACCACACCAACCGTCTCGCCGCCGAATTCGCCTCTGGTTTCTCCCAGTCGGCTACTTCCAACCATCGTCCGCTCTTTGCTTCGGTTTCTCAGCCGAAGGCTGCGGTAGCGGCGGCTGCATCGCTGAGTCCCGGGCAAGTTGCGAAAACTCTAGTCGGAACCGCCGTGTATACGGTGAGCAACTCCAACAATGAGTTCGTGCTTATCTCTGATCCCAATGGAGCCAAGTCTATTGGCTTACTTTGCTTTCGCCTCGAAGACGCCGAGGCATTTCTCGCTCAGGTTTGTTAAAATTTTGAATTTGGAGATATTTTCGAAGCTTTTTCTGTGTTGATTTTATTTCATTTTTGCTTTCATAGGTTCGACTACGGAGAAGAGAGCTGAAAGGCAATGCTAAAGTAGTGCCGATTACACTTGATCAGGTTACTACTTTTTAGTTACGGGTTTGTCAATTGTCATTTGTGTTCAATAATTGAAATGTTAACTAAAATTGGATTGTAAATAACAATAGTGATTTTTATGATTTCTGGTTTTGCACTATATATGATACAGGTATACTCTCTGAAGGTTGAAGGAATTGCATTTCGTTTTCTGCCGGATCCAATTCAAATAAAGAATGCATTAGAGGTTAGTATTTAATTCAATTTGGTTTGAAGGTTGTTGTTAAAACATGTTCTTACGGTCTTAGAAGTGTTTAATGGAAAAATCATTATCCCAAAAATAGCAGAGCTTTTAATTCCGTGGACTTATTTCATGTTCATTGTCTTTACCACCATTTCTTATAAGAAATTTTAAGGCAGTGAAGGGAAAAATGAAAAAAAAAGGGTACAATTTTCATTTAGTTGGATGAGAAATGCGTGGGTGTCAATTTATATGTAAACTGCATGTTGGGGTACTTAGAGAAGATAACCATACTTAAAATGAAGTCATGATGATTATTGTTTCACACTTGAATGAAGATGCTATCTTTCTCAGTTGAAGAATTATGCATCATTACTCACAATAGTTTTTCATGTCTATTAGCTGAAAGCCAGTGATATCAAAAGTGGGTTCGATGGAGTTCCGGTTTTCCAGGTATGTTGTACATTTTGTTAAATACATATGATCTCCTTAAGAGTTGATCTATAGTTAATGACTTTTTCAGATTGGATAAGCTTTTTCACTATTGCATACAATTATCACATGGTTTTTTAGTGGCCATCAAAAGCTTATTTATGCAAATCTATGGTTACTCTTTTTTAGTAAGCAATTCTTATTTCTGTATTAGCATAGAATAAAGAGACTTTCTCGAATTGTTGCTGTGAATAGGAACACTTTCGATATTATCGTAATATTATTACTATTTGATGAATCATGAGATTTTCTTTCTCCACGGTTTCTCAAAACTATGTTATCACAAATTAATGTTATATTTTTTTAATGCTTCCATCTACAGTCTGACCTTCTTGCTGTGAGGAAGAAAAACAAGCGCTTTTTGCCAATATATTTCAATAAGGTTTGCTTCACCTATCAAGTTATAGATTTTTTTTCCTTTTCCAAAATGAATTTAAAGGTAGTTATCGAACGTAACTTTGTTTCTATTAATTTTTTACTATTGTATAGGAAGATATTGAAAAAGAACTTTCAAAGGTTTCAAGGGCACCAAGAGGACCCGGTGTTTCTCAACATATCACGGTATCGTGTTTGTCACGCACATGATTTTGACATTCACATCGTGTGTGCATGCATGGATGAATGATTACGCATCAACCCCCCGCCTTCCCTCAATGTTTCAATTGTTCCAGCATCGTATACACGTTTTACTACTGGTATAATTTTCCGTTTTGGTTTTCTTAATATTCATTTGATCTGATATGTTGGAGCAGGTTGGAAGCTTGGAAGATGTTTTGAAGAAAATGGAGGTAGAGGATCTAATCGGCATGTATTTCTATATAAGACGTACAATAAGGAATTGAATCTGATTGTGCATCATTGTTTCGATGCAGATGAGTGAGAAAAATTCGGGGTGGGACGATCTTATATTCATTCCGCCTGGTAAAAGCCATTCTCAACACATCCAGGACGTGGTGAAAGTATGAGGCAGTTCAGATGTTACTTCCGCCCGTCCATTTGATAACATCAGAAATGCAATTACAACTCAAAGCTATTGAATTCGAATATGGAACGGAAGTGATAGGAGTTATGCGATAAGAGTGGGATACCTCCATTTATGTACTCCGAGATCCGATGGGTTCTTCATATGTTACTGAAAAACAAAAAAGAAATAGGCAAGGGAAACGTTAGCTCTGGTCATTGATATTGCACATCTATACTTTGAACGAGTAAAGCATTAGTTGTCTATTGACATTTGTTCATATCTTCATCATCATTCATCAAAGGAAGGATATTTAGAAAAGGCAACGTAAAATTGCAATTTATATAGTTTAACTTATAGTAATACAAATATAATTTAAGTTGAATATAAATCGAATTTAATATTAGTAATATCTTATCTATTCATATTTTACAACATAATAATAATATTTTAAATTACCATAAAGTATAAATAAAAATAAAAATGAATATAAAATATAATTTCTTATTTTATTGGATTTTATATATTCAAATGTTTAATTTAATTTTAATAGGGTAGTAAATTTTTACAAAGTTTTTCAATATTGATATTAACTTTAGTCAATTAAATTATTTTTAAATAATATAGTTATATAATAATTAGTAAGGCATTAAAATAATCATTTTTGATAGATTTATTTAAACTAAAAATGGATAATCATGAAGAAATACAAAACAGTATTAGTTTGATCAAAATAGAAAAGATGCATTGCTTAGCCGTGTAAAACAATAAACCATTAATAATTGTTGTTTTTTGCTTTTGTTTCTCCCCTTAAACTCCGCGTTTGAAGTACTTGGAAATCATTATTAACGGATACCCCTCCCCTTTTCGTCTGTTTGTTTCTGGTTAGTCCGGTTAACTTCTTTTCGTAGTTTTTTGGAATGCAATTTGTGAATTAGCTTTCTGTTCATCTTTATATAATCAATGATTTGTTCATGAATTAAGCGCCAAACCATTTGTTTATCTTTTCAGCTCTGAGAATTTTGAAATTGCTGGGATTCAAGTTGAATGAATGCATAACGTTAAAGTGAGAAGCCAAGCTTATAGTTTCTTCATTTCATTCCGTTTTCTGCTTCGTTTTATTGCAGAAACAATCTACATTCAGATCAACTCGGATTAGCTCCACGTCCTTTCCCTTGAGCTTTCATTTACATTTGTTGATTTAATTATTTTCTTTTCATTTGATTCTATTGTTTAGAACTCTTAGCAACGAAATGCAGGATCCGCAGATTTTCTAGATAATAATTTGCCTTCTTATCTCAAAACATTCTCATTAATATCTATTCTTTTGAAAAGAAACAACCTTTCAAAGTATTAGCGGGAAGAAAAAACTTCAATCTTGATGTTCTGCCAAAATTGTTTATCTGCCTGTAGGAAAGTAAATAGAGATGCTTATGATTTTGAATTTGGATTGTATTTAATACAACATAGAGTGTTGACATTAATTTGTGAAAATCATGATTCAGTTTGAATTCCATTTCAGGTAAAGAAGTCTGTATGTATGTTCTAAGCTGATGAACGATCATAGAAATTTTTTTCATCTGATTAAATTGCTTTATCCTTGACAGACCCTTTAATTTGCAAGGCTGAGCTTATGTGGTTCTAGTTTTGGCGTTTGTAGAGATATGACCATATGGGGTAGAAATCTATTTTCCATTTTAATTACAGTTTGAATGAAATTATCCCCCAAAACAGGCTTTTGCATTAAATTAAATTTAATTGGCTGTTGAATATCTTCCCCCATTATTGTTATTTAAATGGTTTATTCACGCCTTGATATCATTAATCATTATTGATGTGTTCGGTTCATACAAAGAGGTAAAACGAATTTAAGATGACAAATCTTTGTTGCCACCTAGATTCGGCATGATTTCTAATGCTTGTTTACTCTTTGCATTTCTGATGTCTTTGATCAAAATTTGTTTGCAACCTGCTGTATCTTCTACAAATTGTAGAACTTAGATGGTGCTTTGATTGAGGACCTACTATTGTAGAATGCAGTGGCAGACAGTAATTTGTTTGTTGAAATTCACAATGTTTTCTAAATATATAATTTCAGGTTTTCATATCAACTTTTTGTCACTGACAAATTGTAAGAAATTAGATGGACTGGGCAGCGATTTCTTGTAAGCCTAGTTTACCTTTCCCTTCCCCTTACATGGCTTATGTTTTGTTGGTTTCAGACACCTTGGCCTGTCTACTTGCCGTTTTCTCAGATGCAAAATGCTAAAACAGAAGACATACCTCGTTTAGATTTTTTAGACGACCCAATTATAGGACAAGTAGATTATATAATAGATACTGCAGCTTTAGCTTCTTCAGTTGTCATTGATCAAACTGAGGTAGATCATCAGGGTAGGCTGATGGAAGGTTATAGGTGTGGGGGAGTACATGACAGTTCAGATGAACATGACATCTATCTAAAAATTCTTGTTCTGTTTCGCATAGTCATAATGAGGACATAATTCTTCCTCCACCTTCTAAACCAAAGGTTGGAGATTCTGAAATTCACCATGTAGCATCAGCCAGTTCTGTCGGAGCTATACATGGTGTTTCTGATGGTCAGCAACCTGAGCAAGCTGATTTAATTACCAGTTCTGTTGTCAACGGTGAGAATGACGTGATTTTGCCTTCTGCTTACTCCCATGATGTGAAATTAAGTGAGTTTACCTTGCCCCTTCCTGAGGTTGGCACCATTGATGTTCAATCTTCCCAAAATACTACAGATGAACAAAAATCTGAAAATGCTCTTTCTGCTTCCATTGGTTCCGAAAGTAATAACCAGATAAAATCACCTAATGATTCTACTCAACCCCTTCTTGTTGGCCCCGGTTCTGTTGATGGATTAGTAAAAGATACTTTGGATGGACAACAGAATCAAGGTGCAGATTCTCTTGGCAGCTCTCAAGTTCAACTTAATGGCACTATTTCATCCTCTCCCAAGGTCAATAACGTCAGTCATCTTGTTATACCTTATAAAAAGATTGTCAGTTCTATGGTTGAATCCCCAAAACCTGGTAACCTTATACCGAAAAAAGGTGATTTGAATAGGGGTTGTATTGTCACAGCTTCACCTTTTGAATCTGTCAAAGATGCAGGTTCCAAGTTTGGAGGAATGGTTAGATGGAAATCTCAGAGAACACAAACTCTGGAGGTATATTAGATGTATTTGTAATGGTGTTAATGCTATTTTAGTCTATTCTACTGCAATATATTTCTTCTTTTTTTCTCTGCCTACTTTATTTGTGTCTGATAAATGTAACTTGAACTTTTTTGGGGCTGTAGGGAGGATCCAAGGCTGTGGCCCAAGACCTTGAGAACCTACAGGAGCAGATGGTTGTATATAAGAAACAGTCAGTTGATGCTGAAGTGGAAAAAATTGAAGTATTGAAGGAGCTGGACAACACAAATAAACTAATAAAAGAACTAAAGCTAAGCCTGGATAGAGCACAAACGGATGAGAATCAGGCAAAACAAGACTCTGAACTCGCCAAGATCAGGGCGGAGGAAATGGAACAAGGGATTTGTAACGAGGCTAGTGTTGCAGCTGAGCAAAAGCTTGAGGTTGCTAAAGCCAGGCATGCAGCTGCTGTTGAGCTGAAATCTGTTAATGAAGAGTTGGAAATGTCGTAACCGGTTTTCGTCCGGGCACGAAATATTAAATTTGGCGGGAAAATTGATGTGAATAAATAATTTTGAAAATAAATAATTTGGGAGTCGCCATCGGCCTTTTGGGTCAGGTAGGTCGAATACCTAAAAATTATTTTTTAAAAGAGTTTTAAGAAAACACTAATAAAAAATGAACTGGTCTGCGTTTTATAACCAAAAATTCGTTCTTTTTAATAAAAAGGGATTCGTGGTCGGTTACGTTTAGGGAAGGATTAGCACCCCTACAACGCCCAAAATTGGTACTTTTTAATTATAAATTGTCTCTTATTATTAAAATTTAAAAATTCAAAAATATATTTAATTTATAATCTTATTATTTCAAAATTATATAAAAAATATTTATTTATTTAAAAATATCAGAAAAGAACTTCTAGGTGCCTTAAAACAGCTCTTTTCTTTGATATTGATAAATTTTAAATAATATTGTTTAATTTTTAATTTTAAAACATCAGAATAGGACGTCCAGTTGTTTTAAGACTGTCCTTTTCTTCGATATTAAAATAAATATTTAAAAATTACTATTTATTATATATATATGAATATATAAAAATATTTATTCATATAATAAACATACTACTAAAACAATATATTTAAAAACAATAAAATAAATGAAAACATATAAAATAACTGACTAAATTACAGTAAAAATAAAATTAAAAATCTAATTCATAATTAACCAAAATTATAGGGATTAAACGTGCTATTTTCTTATTTAATAATTTAGTGACTAAAATAAAATTATCTAAAATTCGGATATTATAATAAAATAAATTAAAAATATAAACTAAGGATTAAAATATTATTTATTAAAATTGAGGGATTAAATCTGTTATTTATCCTAAATATATTATTTTAATTAAAAGGACTAAAATAAATTAAATTAAAATTCGAAGACTGGATTAAAAATATTATAAATTCAATTTAGTGACTAAAATGTAAAGTTTACAAGTTCGGAGGACTGCGGACGGGGTTTAACTATTGTTTAATTACGCGCATAGTCCTTCCCGAAACGACGTCGTTCGGGAAGGACTATAAAAGTCCAAAACTGGCTGGCCCGAAGGGCCAGCTTCATTTCATCATTTTCCTTCTCTCTCTCTTCTCTGAGAGAGAGAAGTTTCTCTCGCTTCTCTCTAAAACAGAGAGAAGCCCAGCCAGCCGGCAGTCGTTAGTCGGCGTTCTTCCGCCGTCAACCACCGCCGCCGGCCACCGAAAATTTTTTTTTATATATATAAACGTAGATCGGACCGTCCTAATGACGGTTCCGATGCTCTTTTCCGTTAAACGGCTCCCAATCGGAGTAAATCTAAAAAGAATACCTTCGGTTTTTCGAAGGTTTTGGTGAGATCCGGCGTTTGGCTTCCTCGGTAAGTCTTTCCTTCTTCCTTTTTCCTTCTTTTTTTTTGTTTCTGGTTGTGGGATATTTGACTGAGATCGTTGGTTAGTAGTTGTTTTTTTTTCTTTCTCTATTTTTTTTTCTCCGGTTCTGTATCTCTCTTTTTCTGTCTCTCTGTCCCGTGGTTTTTTTTTTTTTCAGGTTCGGGTGGTGGCTTTTATAGCCACCACCGTTGTAGCTGTCGGATCGGTCCGAAGAGGGGGTCTCGGTGAGTCACCGGACTACCAGTGGTGACTCACCCCGTAGCCGTGTCGTGGACGGCTGGCGTTGGAGCTTCTGGAGCGTTCGGTTGGGACGTGGCAGCGGCGGAGGCGGCGAGATAGCAGCGGCGGCCGCGTGTCCCTAGGGTATCAGACCCTAGGGTTTCCATCTGGGGCAATCTGGACCGTTGGATCGTGCCAGATCCAACGGCTGTGATGAGGCGGCCGGCTAGATTAGGGTTAGGAAACCCTGACTGGAAACCCAAATGTTTAGGGTTTCTGGTTTGATTTGGACCGGTTCTGGTTTGTTTGTAACTGGGCCGGTCCAGTTGTAATTGGTCTGTAATTATTTATTTATATATTTATTTAATATGTATTTAATAATAATAATAATAATAATAATAATAATAATAATAATAATAATAATAATAATAATAATAATAATAATATGGATAAAAAATTAGTATCTTCAGCTGCCCCTCTTTGCTCATTCTTGTGTTAACAAGAATAGGGCAAAGATGAAAAGATAATAAATTTTTTTTTATCCATTTGGCTTTACTTTGATCATAATGGATATATTGAATAAATTCTTCTCTCTCTCCAGATGAGTTCTTCTTATTATGAACTTTCTGCTGGGGATGATGATGACCTCCTTTCTGTGATAGAGTCATTCAAAAGGTTGAATAAGCTCTTGATGAGTTCTTCTCATTATGAACTTTCTCTAGAAAGGCTGATGTTAATCTATCTCCTTCTGTGATAGAATTATACAAAAAGTTGAACAAGTTCTTCTTATTATGAACTTCTTCTTTCTTCTTCAGATGAGTTCTTCTCATTATGAACTCTCCCTGGCAATGTTGATCTATCAAATGATGAATTCAAACCAAAAAATTGAACAAGTTCTTCTCATTATGAACTTCTTCTTCCTTCTTCAGATGAGTTCTTCTCATTATGAACTTTCTCTGGAAAAAATAATCCATCCAGTGATGAATTCAGATAAAAGGTTGAACAAATTCTTCTCATTATGAACTTCTTCTTCCTTCTTCAGATGAGTTCTTCTCATTATGAACTTTCTCTGGAAAAAATAATCCATCCAGTGATGAATTCAGATAAAAGGTTGAACAAATTCTTCTCATTATGAACTTCTTCTTCCTTCTTCAGATGAGTTCTTCTTATTATGAACTTTCTCTGGAAAAGATGATCCATCAAGTGATGAATTCAGGTAAAAGGTTGAACAAATTCTTCTCATTATGAACTTCTTCTTCATTCTTCAGATGAGTTCTTCTCATTATGAACTTTCTCTGGAAAAGATGATCCATCAAGTGATGAATTCAGGTAAAAGGTTGAACAAATTCTTCTCATTATGAACTTCTTCTTCCTTCTTCAGATGAGTTCTTCTCATTATGAACTTTCTCTGGAAAAGATGATCCATCAAGTGATGAATTCAGGTAAAAGGTTGAACAAATTCTTCTCATTATGAACTTCTTCTTCCTTCTTCAGATGAGTTCTTCTCATTATGAACTTTCTCTGGAAAAGATGATCCATCAAGTGATGAATTCAGGTAAAAGGTTGAACAAATTCTTCTCATTATGAACTTCTTCTTCCTTCTTCAGATGAGTTCTTCTCATTATGAACTTTCTCTGGAAAAGATGATCCATCAAGTGATGAATTCAAACAAAAAGTTGAACAAGTTCTTCTCATTATGAACTTCTTCTTCTTTATTCAGATGATGTTCTTCTCATTATGAACTTCTCCTTCCTTCTTCAGATGAGTTCTTCTCATTATGAACTTCTCTGGAAAAGCTGCTCCATCAAGTGATGGATTTGAATCTTTGCTAAAATCTTTGAAATTCCTGTTAAAAATTCAGCATAGATGAAAATGAATGAAAATGCACCTATTTTTGTAAACACCTAAAATATGATGCATGAATGTTGAATTATTTGATTTCAGATTGGTGAATTGAGTATTTCTTCAATTGTAAAAACCCAATAGATTTTTCTTCTTCAAATGAAAGAATCTATCATCTTTGACCAATGTAGATATAATGTCACAAAAATCTCTTGAGAATAAAACTCAATAGTATAGGCTCTTGAAAAGCTTGCATTCAGGTAACATGTTGATTCTGATAACAACTCATCTGATTATGAAGTGACCTTTCAAGATGATTTCACAGATATCGATAGTTCTTCTAATACCGAGAAATCTTGAATTCTGATTCTGATGAGGAGAATAAACTGTTATACTTGACAAAAATGGGATTCTCAAAGGCTGAAGCTTCAATAGCCATGTAGAGATGTGTGGTCCAAATTCATCAATTGCAGAATTGGCAAATTTTATATGTGCTGCTCACATGACTAAAGATGCTGACGCACTTCTTCCGGTAAAAGATGGGAAGCCATTATGTGATAATCCCAGTTACAAGCAAAGACGAAACTTATGCTATGATTTTTGGGAAAGGGATAAGCAAAAGAATCTTGAAAAGAAACTTCTTAATGAAGACGATCATGCAGTTCATCTTTTAATTCCAATGATTGGTTCTGTAGTTTCTACCAAACCAGATCAGATAACTCAAAGAACACTTCCAGAAGATGCTATTGGCAAATTCATCTTCTAAACTCAATGATTGGTTCTGTCCAACCAGATCAGATAACTCAAAGAACACTTCCAGAAGATGCTATTGACAAATTCATCTTCTAAATTCAATGATTGGTTCTGCCAAACCAGATCAGATAACTCAAAGAACACTTCTAGAAGATGCTATTGACAAATTCATCTTCTAAATTCAATGATTGGTTCTGCCAAACCAGATCAGATAACTCAAAGAACACTTCTAGAAGATGCTATTGGCAAATTCATCTTCTAAATTCAATGATTGTTCTGTCCAACCAGATCAGATAACTCAAAGAACACTTCTAGAAGATGCTATTGACAAATTCATCTTCTAAATTCAATGATTGGTTCTGCCAAACCAGATCAGATAACTCAAAGAACACTTCTAGAAGATGCTATTGGCAAATTCATCTTCTAAATTCAATGATTGGTTCTGCCAAACCAGATCAGATAACTCAAAGAACACTTCTAGAAGATGCTATTGGCAAATTCATCTTCTAAATTCAATGATTGTTCTGGGATATCATAATGCTTATTTGATGTAGAGCCAGAATTTGTAGATTCGAAGCATTTCCATGCTATTACACTGAAAAGGGCTATATAATTCTGCCAATTAAGAACAGAGTTTCTCTTATTCTGCTTCCTCCATGTGCTGATGCTTTTCCATTGACAAAGAAATGATGGCATCCTTGGAATCCAAGAACAAAGTTGAACTGTTTATAAACATGTACAGGAAGTGCCAAATTGACAGAAAGGATCTGTAAGAGACATGTTTCCCAGTGATATCAATATCT